CCCAACTCATTGATATAGTGAGGGACATCTGTACTTACCAATCAAGTACATCAACAAATACAGCAATGGATATAAGGCAAGTAAAATAGTTATAGATCAATTCCAGAATTGGAACTGTTAAATTAATTTAAGTAAATAATTGCAGTTTGTCAGCCATTCTTAAGAGTGGTTCACTGCTACTCCTGACATGTGACCATATAAAACAAAGCTGTTTTCTCTTGCAGTTATTGACAGGTGGCGGTTTGCAGCTGCAACTAATAACTTTGTGATCTGATTACCAGGTTTATTTTTTCACGAGCAAGATTAGTTCGATCAGGGCTGGATATATGATGAAGTTCAAAGTCTACCATCTTCATCTACCCTATGTTTGGAGTAATGGGGGGGGGGGGATATTCAGTAAACCTATTGTATATTCAAGATAAAATCTCATTCAATAGACTATTGATGTCTGGTCAACAATTCAATTTTATCCGATAGATATACAATGTAAAATTTTCATTTGTAAGATACAGTATATGTATTACATAACTAAATTTTTTTTTAATTTGCTCAGTATCTGACAGTGTGGGTGAATTTGACCTGAATTTGCATTCTTTAAAGTCTTACCACTCGAAGCTCATGCACCACTTTACAACACAGCAGCATTTGAATAACAGTCATGACTTGGATTATAGTGTATAATGTTTTCATTCTGCAACAATAAGCTGTTCTTTTTTAAAGTTACTGTACTGTAATAATCTGGAAAACACTGTAACTGTACAAACCTATTACAGATTTTTTTTAAAGATGCCCTCATATCCTTGATATTGATATAAATGAGACCTAACATTGTTTTACAATGAATATGACTAGATTGAGTTTAAAACCCTAATGAAGCACTTAGTTTAAATATTAAATGCTCTTATTTTGAGATACTGTACTTAATGTATATGAAAATATATTCATTTATTAAACAATTCAACAACGACAACAGAGAATTATTACATCAAGATGTATATTCAAAGATTTAGACTTGGAACTGACCAACATTCCATTTATAATTGTCAAAAATAATGCTCCAAAAAACACAGAGAGAGAGAAGACGTTTAGACATATCTTGGGAGTTTATAGCTAAAAGCTGTGATTTTTTCTTCATATTAAATTCCTCAATTTATATCAGTAAATTTAATACTGCACAAGAGAAAGTTGGATAATGGTGTCACAAGATATAAATAACTGCAGCAATAAAAAAAAAGGCGGGCTATTAACAAACACAGTACTGCATCATTAATAATATTTGCCCCATAAAGCTTTCATGTTTTCAAGCAGGTTTTCTTTGGAAATATAAGTATACAATGTACTTTGATATACAGGCAAATATTCAACATATTTTACCAATGCTACCATACAGGAACACGTAGAAGACTGAATATTGAATTTATGTTTTCTGGCAAATGGAATAAACTACAAATTACTACAGTAGTTGTATACTGTACACTAGCTCAAAGGTACTATACACATTTTAGCATATAAATATGGTTCATGACAAGAGTTGCCTTGGTAATACTTTTCTAAGCTCCAAGGACTTTTCATGCACATGATTCAGTGGTTTTTATAATTTATATAACCTTGTTGCCATGAAAAAACTATACTGTACAGTAATCATATGGAAATGCCAAAAACCTTACAATAATATTACTGAACTCCCAAACCTTCTCGTACCATGAAAATATACTGCCCCTAGCACTCACCAGTGAACCAGCCATGGCAAGTGTCAAGTTGGATATGCAATTCTTAAAACAAGTTCCTGGACAAATTGGACCCAAACAAAAATGTCCATTCTGAAATATTTAATTTAATTTTGTATATCATTTTATGAAAATAGTTTGCACAACATGACTACAAATTTTCCTGTTAATTAACCAGGGACATTTTTGTTCTCAGTCAAAAATCATTCAGCTTTAACACTGTCTGGACTCCTCTGGACGAAACTTTTACCTATTATATTTCAAATATTGTATGCCTTTGTAATCTTACTTTGAATGGGACATTGACGCCCTGCAACAGTGAGGCCATAACCTTTCCACATTCACACACAAAACTAAGGGGTGGAATACAATTTGCCTATTGCTAATTTCTCTGGGTATCTCCAGCATTCTAACTAGGAACTACATACTGTATATCACTTCTGATTCAAAAAATAACCGTCCACCTTTTTGATATACGGGTAAATGGAAGAAAAACCTGTTTAACAATAGGTGCAGCTGATAGTAAACAATCAAAGGCTTCATTACCTTAGGCAGCAAATATATATACAGTATACTGTATACTGTATACCACAGTATATATTACCTGTGGAAAAAATAATTCCTCTTCAAGACAGACCATTGCAGTGGAAGTGTATTTTTTTTTATATGTACAGAAATTTTCACTATACTGTACTGTACAGTATTACCTTATAATTTACATTGCAATGAGTTTCTCAGGGACACAAGTTCCTTGAATACTGTAAAGTTATCAGGTTTTCAACCAACTATTAAAGGATATTGACATATTGTCACACCCAAAACCTTAGTAAAATATCAATACAGTACTTGGTTGCTACAAAATTCACATCATGGCACGAGTTGATTTTTTTTTTAATTTTGTTAAAAAATTTTCTGGTTAATTGGGAGAAACAAGGATAGCATAACTTTATATTACTTTTAACACTATCACCATTGGGACATCATACAGAATATGCACTTCCATGAGGCACTGTTCAAAATACAGGTTGTGCTTTGATTTAATGGCAACCCATTTAATGGAAGCTCACATTTCACAGTAAAATTTGAAAAAAAAAAAAAAAATTATATATATATATATATATATATATATATATATATATATATATATATATATATATATATATATATATATATATATATATATATATATATATATATATATATATATATATATATATATATATATATATATATATATATATATATATATATATATATACACTGTATATATATATTTAATGGCATTTACCGGCATATGCCACAAAACTGAAATTGGCGGCCAAGACTGTGAGCTTCTGCGCAACGCTTCACTTTCACTGGCCCTGCGGTCATGTTTATGTTTATCCCAGCAGACTGCCACTGCTGCCGCTTGTTTTGAAGCCAAGTATCATATGAACCATGGCTCCTATGCGGCCTTCAAGCTTGCCAGTTAGTGTTAAGGGGAAGAAGAAAAGAAAATCATTGACTATATCCCTGTATCACAAAAAGTGTAACTTCTTCAGAAATTGTGTGAACTATACAGTGTTGAGAGCTCAATTGTGTATGGCATTAAAAAGCAAAAGGAAAAATTTATGAAGTATTATGCAGAGTGACACTCAGAAAGGAATAACAATGCATAAGCATGTGAAACAGGGAATGAGTGAAGATCTTGAAAAATGTCTGATGCAGTGGCTTTGTCATCGTAGGAACGACGGTGTTAAACTTTCAGGCTAAATTGTTATTCAGCATGCCAAGAAGTTCCACAAGGAACTTAATTTGCAACATGAGTGCATATATTCATTTGGATTGATTAATTAATTACCAAAATATATGTACATATACTGGTTTAATGGCATGTCTGTGATTTATGCTTCAATTTAACAGTAAATTTGATTTAACAGCAAGGGTCTGGTCTCAAGCTTGCCCTTAAATCAAATCACAACCTGTAATAACAAATACTGTACAGTACTGTACTAGTTATGCTATTATGAGGATCTTTATACAGCATTTCTTTTCCGAATGATCTTTCCTTGTAAAATAGATTTGAATCCGCAACAACCTAAGTCTTAGGCTGAAGTTACCAACCATTACTCTACAGTCAAAGAAATTTGTTTGTCACTCTGCTGTCTTGCCACCACCTAAGCTTTTACAGTGTCTTCAGTCAGTTTCTCCTCCTCCAGGTACACTAATCTTTGGAACCCCTTTGAACTTTTACTCATGTCTTTTCAACCTGGATGTACATTTTCCAACTATTATATATGAAATAGTTTTGAAGTAACTGTCAACAGAGAGGAAACAATAATCATCGATTGTAATACCAGAGGATGATTCACAAGCTCAAATCAATTTGTATGTATAACAAAATCCCAGTAAGTCAACATTTGATATTTTAGGAATACTGTACCAGTAATTTAGCCATGTAGTATTTGCCAAATTCAAACCATTTTTGACCTATTGGGTTTAATCTGAGACATAAGCCAATACTGTATTCCAAAGTTGGTCACGAGTGTCATTTGATTATTTATATCTTGATATGGAAACCATCTGAAATCTGATTTGGTCAGAGATTAATATAATTTTTTCCAAATGTTATCAAGTTAGTCCACTGATTACACCCATACAGTACATATGTTAGGCAGGAACAACTTAAAAGAGAAGAAAGGAACTTTTAAAAAGAATGTACTAACAACAAACCGCAGCAGTAATCCTAAGAAAGTTAGAAACATCATCTTCCGGAACTTATGTTCTTGATAGCTTGTTTGTATTAAGTGCATTTTTGTCAATTGTCTACATCCATAAGTCACTTACAACAGGTGCTAAATGTATTAGTAATAGGAGTGTTCACTATTTTGTAATGTCACCACTAAATTTCACAATACGTAGTGCATACTTTAACTGGAGGTGTTATTTCGTTACAAATCAAGTGGGCAATGATAATATAATGAGGAGATATACAGTGAAAGTGTGTATGCTGTATTACCCCTAACAATTACACTTCAGTGTTGAAGATGTAGATGACACACCTTTACACTGCCCTTTGTGTTCATTTCTGATTCATCACAGATGATCCGTTTCACAACTCATTACTAAAGATTTTTTTTTATGAAATTTAACATACATAACACACACTTACTGTATGATATTTTTTGAGATCATGGAAACTAGGAATGCTGAATGGTAAAGGGTTTGTCTTATGTTAAATCCAAGCATGGAAAACTAAAAAATAACAAAGTACTGTAGATAAGATACATGTTCTTGTCTTAGGAGAGAATCACACAAAGCAAATTTTAATTCAAAATCATTTGGTTGCATCATATTTTTATTACTGTACTGGCTGTAATTAAAAAAAAGGGGGGGGGGGCTTACCTGTTTACGGCCACCTTAGTACTGCCAGAAAGTAAAAAATCAATATCTAGAGATTAATTTGTCCCAAGTGACATGTAGCAAATTTAACTCTTTGGATTTCCAACTTATGAGAAAACAGTTTGATCTGAAAGCCAGGCACAGATGAAGGAGCATTGCTGCTTAAGATGAGCACATACTAATCACTGTACCATGTGTAATTCTCCATTGAGCTAACCCATCTCACCTTGGGTTGCCTCCCAATAGATCCATATGGTATAGGAGACAGCACTAAGGAAATTTGATTTAACCTTTTTCATTTGCATGAAAAATATACACAACATTTTAGGAATATTAAAGTGTTTAAAGTCTACTTTTGTTGCTTTCAAGAAAGACCTCACAACATGTCACTAATACTACAGTATTGCTCCTTGATGTTAAAATATTGTATACACTATTTTGGCATTAAGAGTACAATTTTCTAATAACAAATGGTAGTTACAATGAAAGGAAGAAAAGCATTTCGCAAGAAGGGAACTTTCTTACCTTATAGCATAATATATGAGATGGGGGTTCTTTCTCCCAAACTCTGGGAAATACTGTATGCAATGTAATCCTTTGGGAACGATGATTTAAACCCTTTAACGACGATGATTTAACCCTTTGACGACGATGATTTAACCCTTTGGTGACGATGATTTAACCCTTTGACGAAGATGTTTAACCCTTCAGGACTATTTTACATGCTGAGATTGCATGGAAGTGTATCAAAGTACTGTATGCTGAAACTTTTCAAAATAATGCCTAGTACACAGTAACACTGAGAGATCTAAGACATAATACCCCTGAACCTCTTTTACAAGGATATCAACTGTAATGCGCACAATGAATAAAGTCATTTTAAATTTTCTATCCAATATATATTTTTGCTCAAAACAACATCCACCTTACTGGTGAAATCATCAAGTAAGACAAACATAATCAATTTCAGTATGTGTGTGAAGATGAATAATTGTCCGAGAAAAAATTTAAAGAAGAAAGAAAGATGCGAGTACAAGCCAGGAATTGTAGGTAATGTATGTTTACGAGCAAAAATAAAGGCTTTTTGCAAGATTTTCACTTGTGACATTTCAAAATAGAAAGTTGGCATTAATATTAAATCAATACAGATGGTTAGTTATGTTGTTAATTTACTTTTATAGAACATATTCTTAAGGATCTAAACAAACACTATGCACCATTACCAAAGAAGCTATTTCCACTGTTCAGTAAGGTACCGCTATTCAGTAATGTACCCTTAAGTCATGGCAGTTTTTAAAAATCATTTCATTATTGCTCTACAAAGACATATACAGTACAGTACAGTAACGGCAACATTTTTCCTTCCACCTATTTTTTAATCCCAAATAACTGTTCCCACTCCCACTCTTTACTGTAGTTAAAGGTTTATCACCACATTATTTTTCAAACAGCACTGCCACCTAACACCAGTTAAAATGAATACAGTACATACAAAAATTGGCTTCACCGATTTTGACAACAGGGAAGAAACAAACATATTCATCCCAACATTTAAGAAAACATTGTCTCCCACAATTAGATGTGGGAGAAAATCAGACACGAAGGAAAACTATAACACTTGAGGTTTGTGGAAGATAACAAGTATTGGGTAGTTGCCACAACAAATTCAAGGCACTGAAGAATATATACCTCGGTACATACTGAAGGATTATGAGAAGTCAATGGACTTAATGCAGTACATAATTACAAAATCATTTGGCAAGCAGGAATATTAAAAAAAAAACTACTCTGCAAAATCCTGGAATGAACACTTGCAATGAGAAAATTGAAGGTTTAAAATGCACAATTCAATGGATGCCTTGGAAATTTTAATGGATGTGGAAATCTGACTCTTTTTAGTAGAGGGTTCTATGGAATCATGGCCATGCAGACATTATGAACAGAAAAACAGATATAGTGAGAGAATATCATATGTTGGTAAGAGAATGATAATACACACTTAACTAGGCAACATAATAATGAGATGGTTGTATGATGAGCTGACAATGGAGTGATTTATACAATGCTTAATCTCATTTCAGAAACACTTGCGATTATTTTGTTAAACTTTTAGAAGACAAACAGCTCTCTTTTATCTTTCCCTATTTTTGATTATAGACAGGATCCTTAGTCAACTTATTTACAACATAATACAATCTTCATCTTATCTCAAAAATATATGCACAAACCATGATAAACTCTGTAACTGCCAAAATACTTCCAACAACTTATGGTCCTAACGTCATCTTGCAACTTGTACAATCATCAAGGTCAATGATCAAAACCCATATGAATGTACTGTGATTCAGTTGACCTATAAATCTAAATCATTTGGAATCATCTGTGATTTTTTTTTTTTTACATTTTTGCTCAACTGGCAGAACCAATTTCTCACCTATTGTCTGCCAACATTGAACTTCCTAAAAACTGGCTGCTACATAAACATGAGGCTTGGTGTAGCTGTACCCTCCTGTAGTCTTCCTCAAGTTTATTCAAGGGGTTTTGATCCTATATTTCTCAACATACTGTTACTTGTAAATAAAAAATACGTGCTAAAGCCAGCAGAGCCTGAGGCCATCACCAGTTGCTTGTTTATAAGTACAAACTTCAAAATAGTACCTTTTTTTTCTCTACAAAATTTGGTGTAACCTGCAGCTACACATTTCTTTCAAGCACTGAAAAAGAAAATTATTTTTTTTTTTTTTACATTTTCAAACATTACATTGTGTGTTTGAGGTTATCTGCACCAATATCAATATTTTACAACAAATCTTAATAATGATTTTTAAACTGTAAACTCTATCTATATTATCAGTCTATTAACTGTTAGTGCACAACTCAAAACTCATTTTCTATTTAGACATTTACTTACCTGGTGCTACTGCCTGTTTTACACTGCTTAATATTCGGACTGCTGATATCACATACACTAGCATTCAGTGATATCCAAAACAATTTATGACAAACTGTTGCCAAATAATCCTCTTCTCAGGCTCAAAAAGTAGCTTAATGTAGCTTGGAATAGATGAGTCCATCCATCATATTGAATGAGTTGCCATCGGGCTGGAGGGTAATGATTGTACCTGATACCAGCTGTGCTTCTAAGAATCCATAGTTGTCCACTCCAATGATCACGGCAGATTCTGTCCGTCGATGTTCATTCTGAACAGTTACTGTTGCATTACTGGAATTTAAAGTCTAATTATTGACAGTACAGTATATACAAATTTAAATTTAATACAGGGTAGTGGCTTCTAGCTGAAGAATATTGTGGTTGTACAATTAAATAATTTTGTATTAAATAAACATTATTGTACTTGGTGCAGGTCACCCTAGTTTTTACAACATTCAGATTAACTCTTCACTACCCAAAATTTGTTTATGACAAGCTAATTATGCATGAACACTGCAGCACATCAGGCTATTCATCTTTCCCACATATATATTGCATCAAGAGAAAACATCTTGCATTTCTGTTGGGACTTGGGTTTCTTGTATATAAACATTTATATTACTCACTGACTTTTATCTTTTCAAAATTTCCTTCCAGTTCAAGTATAAAACTCCTGAGGAAGCAAAAGACAATGTCAACACTAAAAACAAAATTAGAGATACAGGTTGTACCTCTCTAGTCCGGCAACCTCGGGGCCTGACCGGTGCCGGACCATGGAAATTCACCCTTTTCCTGGATAGATAGTGACTTGTGCTTATGCTTAGAAGCACTAGCACCACTTTCTCTGCATCATGGTCTCTTTGAAGATATATTGAAGGGTTAAATGTCGTATAGTAGCTTCTCAAATTTCGCGAGTTTTTAATTTTTAACGTATTTTATTGGAACACACAAAAAATAAATAAATAAATAAATAAAAATTTTGACGGCGGAAAATTGAATTTCGACGGGTTTGAACGGCCCGCCAACGTGCAGACGACGTGCATAATCGTGTAAACAGCGTCATTTCTCTTATGTACAAAAGATTCATTATCGTTTATTACTGAATGTCTTTTTTATTGAATTAATGTTTATGTGTGCAAAATGAGCAATACAATTCATTAATAATACGTAGAATATTAAAACACACGAGGAAATGACACAGCATTGTTTTCGTTGATTACAAAACCAGTGACTGACTGGTTCTACATATAAAACTGAAGAAAATAAGACCTTGGTTGTAGCTGTAGTAAAATTAATATGGTTGTTTTAAGTAATGTTATTTAATGTTAATAAATGGAACAATAGAAGTAGCTAACGATAATGGTAAAGAAAAAGAGAGATCGCGTATGTAAGTGCGCACACGTGAAAACATATCGTCATTACTTTACATAAGAATATGAAAGCAACACTTATTTACTGTTCATATATATTTTAATTAATGTTTCTGAATTTGTTTTTATTGAATTAATGTTTGTGTGTGCAAAATAAACAATACAATTTATTAATAATACGTGGAATATTAGAGGAGACGAGACGGCTGCCGGCATTGTTTATGTTAAAGCTTACAAAACCAGTAACTGATTGGTTCTACATATAAAACTGAAGAAAATAAGACCCTGATTGTAGCTGTAGTAATGTAAAAAAATTAATATGGTTGTTTGAAGTACCTGTAATGTTATTTAATGTTAATAAATGGAACAATATAAGAAGCTAACCATTAAGGTAAAAAAAAAAAAGTGAGTGCGCGTATGTAAGTGCGCACATGTGAAAACATATCGTCATTACTCTACATAAGAATATGAAAACAACACTTATTTACTGCTCATATATATTGAAGGGTTAAATGTTGTACTCTGTATAGACAAGCAGAGAGAGAGAGAGAGCAGCCGAACTGCCGTCTGTAAACAACCCTTAATTTCCTGCGGCTTTGTTTTTTTTTTTTTTTAAGGGGAGTAGCCCACCCGGGCATAGGTCACTGACCCACATTGGGGCCTGAGGGGCAAAAATTTAATACTCCTGTAATAATAATATAATTCAGATAAGTAAAAAAAAAGCTGCCAATCTACCTATTGGACAAACTAAAATAGTTCCGGACCACGGGAGTTTCCGGACCACAGAATGCTGGACTAGAGAGGTACAACCTGTACTGAAAAGTCTTGAAAATGGTTAAACAGCTACAGGGCTTGGCAGGGCACACCAAGTGAATGAGTCAAGCATACCGGGTATGTGCTATCAAGAGGATTGCACACAAAACTTGAAGTGCTGTTAAATAGTCTACTACTGTTTCAGACAAGACTGAAGAACCCTGTGCTAGAAAATTTGGAAAAAAATTTAATTGGATTAAGATCATAATTTCATGGTATGTGTAGGCTTTGCCACTGTTTAAGAAAAGTGCTATAGCTGTACAACCATCTAAGACAGGAACAAAGTGAATCTTTAACTGTTCGACTTCTATTAACAAATAAGGGTTGGCTTGACAAGTTTAAAGATTATCAAGCTCTACATGGAATAAAGTTAACAAGTGCAGAAAAAAAACCAGTATAATGGAGAGCATACTCATTTATAAAGCTGATTAAAATAATTTTTGTATGAATCTAATTCAGAAATTTCTTTAAGGCAAAAAATAATAATATTAATAATAAATTAATCAGTAATTCTATGCCCAGATATCCCCTACCCTCATAAGAAATACGGGGGCTGTTAGTTGCCAGGTGGCAAAGAAAGGTGAGCGGTGCAGTACACGTTCATTTCTTGGTTGGTTGTTTTGCCACGTGTCCATACAGGTAAGTGCTCTGTGCTCACCACTCATGATCTCGGTGTTTGTGTTTTGTTATAGTTAAGTAAGTTGTATGCATAATGCCCATCATGATCTACATGCAAGAGATAATGTTTCATAATATTCTTGCAAATTAATCAACAGATAAATGAATGTTGTTTGATAAGCATAATGTTCACAAAATAAAGGGACAGTACACCTACTGCACAGATATTTCGTTGTTTTTCAGGTGATGCCATACTGTTAATATCATGAGCAAACGCCTTACACCATGACTAAGCGGGGTTGCTTATAAGCACCTTCACAAGTCTCATGAACAAGAAAAACAGAAAGGCAAAGCTGCATTGCAAAAGTTTGTGAAGTGTTCACATCAAGAACCAGAAACTGGGGAGGTCTCATCCCACACTAAAGAACCAGAAAGACGTGATGTATCATAACAGATTACCGACTCAACCATTGCCTGAATAAAATCAATAATTTTTACATTCCTTTGTTGCAGCTATACAATCAAGCATCTGATGTACAGTCCTATACAGTTGATATCTTCCATGATGTGGGAACTTGTCCACACCTTATGCTTCGACTTATCAGAAACAATCTGGTGATGAAAGGCCTCTAATTGTTCAAAACAGACATGGGTCTTTTCCAAATATTGAAGAGAACTGTAGCATATCTAGTGAGTGTTTTTCAGAAAATTGGAAAATGGCAAGAAACTACTATGAAACTGGTTGCTTTATTTTCCTTCACAGGATAGCCTGTACTGTTTTTGCTGTTGCCTTTTCAACTCAGACAGTAGGGTTTTTTCCAAGAAGAAAGGATTTAACAAGTGGAGAAAGTTAAACCCTCAAATCTCTGAGCATGAAAAGAGTCTAGGTCACAAGGAGGCATCCATGTAGTGGGAAGAGATGCATATTTGCTTGCAAAGAGGAGCAACAATAGACCACAACATGCAACATCAGCTTTAAAGTGGCAGGCCATTCTCAGACATATTATTGCTGGAATCATGTAGCTACCTAGTGGCAAAATCTTGCTCTTCGAGGACATAAAGAAAGTCTTACCCAAAGCCACTAATAACCCTAGTAATTTCCTGGTACTGATACAACTACCTGTACTTGGGATATACTGTACAATCAGGTAATGAGGGAACATTTTACCACCTTCCAAACTACTCACCCATAAATCAAAATGAATTCCTACAACTCCTGGGCAGCCGAGTGAAGTCAGACCTCATCAAGAAGATCCAAACAGCAAAATTCTATGCCCTCATCTTGGACAGTACACCAGATCAATTACACACTGATCAGAATTGTTTCTTGATTTCATTGAGTTGGAAGGCAAGACAACTGGTACTGCAAGAAGATGACCTTGATGTCATGAATCCTCGGGGTCAGGGGCATCACAAGGCTGCAACTATGGTTGGGATTCACAGTGCAGTACAAAGATGAATCACGATATAATTCTGAAGGCAAATTTCATTCCCTGTACCAATCATTCACTGAATTTGGCTGGAGTTTACGCTGCTGCCACTACAGTGAATGCCATGACTTTCTTCTGGACCGTCAAGCAATGTATATGTTTTTCTCCATTTCAACTTCCAGATGAAGCATCTTCCAGCAGTTTGCCCAGGGGAGGATTGTAAAGCAAGTTTGTGAAACAAGATGAAGCTCCAAGCATGATGCCATTGATGCTGTTTGGTCCTATCTAAATGAAATATTTGAAGCTTTCGAGAAGCTACGTGATGATAATAGAGAGACACGGGACATATGATCAAATCCAGCTACTGTATTATGTTGAACAACATGATGACCTACAATTTTGCTGCATACCTATTCTTCTGGAAGCCAGTTCTACCAGAAATTAATGACAATCAGAAAGTGCTCCAGACAGCTGGACTTGGACTAGATGCCACTATTATCAGTTAGCATCCCTTCTTTTATTTTTATAAAATGAAAGGGACAACATAGTAAAGGAAGCAAAGGCAAAGACCAAGGCCACCAACTTCTGCAAACAAATGGGAACCTCCACAGACAGGCAAATATGGAATAAAAAATGCCTGGAGAAGAATCCACAGGAAGAGATTAAATGTGAGCATTGTGAAATATTGGATTGGCTACATAAGGAAATAACCCTTGGCAGCAACCAGATGACTGACATGAACATGAACCAGTCAAACAACGGTGTTACTGGCATGAAAATTCTTCATCTGACATCATTGCTAGTGAGCTATAGAAAGAAATTTGTCATCTACGAAGACACACCAGAATGTATGAGGACACAACAGGAAAGGAAATGGTGGATTGGAAGGCCTATAATACCCTACAGTACTGCACTATATGTTATTCAGTGGGGACTTGAGGAATCTTTCTCCAACCCTCACATCATACACCCTCACCTCACAAATTCGTGCTAATTGGTATCCCACCATGACCAAATTTCCGAAAGTCACGGATTAGCAGAATAAGCATCAAAGATATAA